AAAAAAGGTTTATTTTTCTTTGTTAAGAGAGCTAATGCCCATAAAATTTTTCTTTCAACTCACCATGTGAAATCTGAGAAGCTCATTGTATCTGATTTATCATCACGGGTTTATTACGAATCAACTTAACGGCCTGCTCCCAGTTGGCTTGTTAGCTCAATTGGTAGAGCGCTGCACTATTATCGCAGAGGTCAGTGGTTCGAATCCCGTACAGGCCTGATTTTTTTCAGGTCTGATTTTCGCTATTGCATAAATAGCGCTCTCTACTGCGAGGATCGTGCATCAGACGTATCTAATACCGCAGTTCAAAATATATGAACTTCATATATTCATTGTATCTGAAGTAGAACTTGTAAAGATCTCTTACAAAAGCACCCCAAAGACCGTTAAATTCTATCTCTCAGAACAGGATATTACCATCACCTCAACTGTGTTTCTATTAGATCTTAACCAAGATATGGACGCTCTTCCATTGGAAATTAAAAATACTTATCTAAATATTGTAATCAGTACAATGAATTATAAAATACTTCCAGTGATATCACGGAACAACGCAGATAGAGAACATGTACTAGGTGAGACTAGTGATGGATTATCGTTGTAGACAAACGTATTATCGCCTAATATAATATATCTATACTTATAATCTCTGTTTAATTATTGTAATGTACAATTTTTAGATTGATCACCATATCAGAAATAACCGTACGTCACATACACAAACTGAACAATATTGCGTTAAATTTAATTTATCAGAGATGCAGAAGATTTTTAGTAGTTTTTGGCGTGATTGCTTTTACTGAGTTTTCCAAATACCTCTTAATGTTCCACCTCAAAAATATTTCTCCCCATAATGCCTTTTTTCGTGCAAAGATAGCTCGTATGGAATAATATCATTTCTGGTGTTTTAAGGACTCGGTAGAATTTCGCGGGTGTCCTTCGCGAAAAAAAATTGTTACCGCGCTATTTAAAGCGTAGCCACCATAAACTATATATCAATGGAAGGTTATTAAATGTACTTTCCAGCAAATTTTTTTTGTTTTAGCTCGGATCTAGTCGGATCTATTCGGATCTAGTCGTAAACCGACTAAGGCGCGACAAGTCGAAACGGACGATGTTCCTTTGAGTGGATTAATCGGGTTTTTTAGATTGGTATCTTGGGAGCCTTTGGACCGTGTGGGGATTTTCCGTTTTTCGAAATTTGATCTCCCGTAATGGTCTCCGACGTAACGCGTCTCAATAAAATTTTGATAACCGAACTTGACAGAAAGATTGCAAAGCAACCAGTAGGAATATTGAAAAAGCCCCACCCGGTTTTGGAGACCAACCCCATAAGATTGAAATTGTGCAGAAGTTTCACCAAATTTCAAGTCAATCCGTAAAGATTTCATGTCCTATTAATTCTTCCAAAGAAGACAATTCGCGTATAAAAACGAAGTCGGTTTTTTACGCTTCCAAAGTTTTTCCAACATTTCACGCCTTTAGTTGGCCACGCGTCGAGTAAGGTCAAAGCTCTGAAAAACTCGAAATGCCGACCGCATTTTTGTAATATACACATCCTAATACAATCTGCACTGGAAACTGTCAGATCTACAGCTCCTTTAAAGATTAAGAGAAACCTGGCAGGAAGAAGAAAATTAAACCTGCTGGTGTAAAGCCCAGGGAGGAATCGACAGCTGGACCTAAGGAACTAGTGGAAATGGTGGAAGGAATGTCTAGTACTCAAAGCTTCCCACCAGACCCAGCCACACTCTCATTCTCTGAGTAGGTAAAGAGTCTAGAAAGCTATCGAGGATCAGAACCTCTTTCCACGGAACAGTTTGTTGAAAACATCAAGCACGAGTACATGTGCCCAATTTGCAAAGAGGTAGTTGATCAACCAGTCCAGACAAAATGCCCAACTCCACAATATTTTGTGCTAGTTGTTTATCATTTTCTTTCGAAACCTGTGGATCCCTTTGCCCGGTGTGCCGAACAAACATTCAAAATCCAAATAAGTTCATTGAGCCAGCCCCTTTTGTTCTTCGCGCATTACTTTCAGAGCTAGATTTTCAATGTCCTTTTTGTACACACAGTAAAACTCCACCAACTACCACAGCATCAAGAATGTTGCATTCCACAGCCTACAACAGCACCCACACACATTTTAACTCCTTTGCAAAGATCAGTTCCAGTAACATCACCCCCCCCCCCCCTTGTCCCAGTAAAACCCCTACCTGCAGCAGGGGGAGATGGACCAGCAACAACAACCACCTGTGGAGAACTGACAGTAACCCAACTGCCAACCACCCCAAAGGAAGTTTATACATCCCTAAAGGAGGAAGTTGGACTGTTCGTTATTCGACAGTTTCTATCACAGTCTCAGGATGGGGCAACTATTCTCCTGAAAACAGGTGGCCAGGTAATAAAAATTTTTTTAAGTCAAAAATAAAGACATTCATTTTCAAAATAAAATTTAAGATAATTCATTTTCAGCCCTTAGAATTGGTTAAAAGGACCAGGACAAGGAAAACAGCTGATGAGGTAACAAGGAAAACTGCCAGACAAAGATCAAAGGTAGTAGCAGAGACCAGGATAGCTTTCAGTGGTGGGGCAGCCGGTACCCAGTTGAAAGATGAACTGCGAGCAATGGGCAGAATAGAGAGGGAGGCACTTCTGAAGGAGACCTTGGGAAAAGAATTTAAAATCACAATTCCAAGAGGTGACATCCTGGCAATGAAAGCAGACCTTGGCGAAACATGGTAAAAAGTCAGAAAGCTTAGGAGGTAAGAAAAACATGAACAAAAAAATCATACAAACCCCAAAAGTTTTCCAAAGCAACATTAAATATCAGCAACAGTAACTGTTTTGAGTTTGTATCCAAATTTGCCAATTTTCTGAATACCCTCAGTCTGCATACAAAATCATGATGACTATTATGTCTCTACAGATGGTTTGAACGGTGGAGACTATCCTCAGAGAATGAAATAAGCCAACGAAAGCAAGTTCAGTCCATCACTGACCCTGCCAACTTGGTTTGTGAAATGGTTCCATTTGAATTAAAAAAACCAGGTTGCAATCCAGAGATCAGGGAAGCAGAGTTTGGTTATATTACAGACCTGAACCAATTCATACATCTTCATCTGGATGAAAATGACAAGTATGACAATAAAGAAAATTTATGAAGGTGTAGTCTGATCGTCCGGGTGAGTGTAGTCCTGAGAAGGACTGTTGTCGGTGGCAGTG